TGAAATTCACAGGCTACGTCCGTCGTTTCATCGGCAATTACTGCAACAAAAGGAGAATTTGCAATCTCCTTCTTAACTTCTTCATGATAAACATCTAGCATGCACTCAAGAAGCTCGTTTTGAGTTGTTTTTGAGGTACCCTCAAAAAGTTTGGCACTTTGAATATGGACTTTCAATTCGTTGTCTAATTCGGCGCTAAAATTCACCAGCTCCTTAAATATGCCTCTGTTTTCCGAATTTTCCTTTTCATCATGACCCCTTAAGGCTAACTCAAATGCTCCACAAAACCTTATACAATTAATAATTTTATTCAATACATATCGATTCTTATCCACTTGATTATTATATTTAATTAGATCATTGCGATAAGCCGAATTGAGTTGAGTCCTTATATTTAATTTACCAAGAATAGAAAAGCTAAAAACATTATTCATATGGACTTTAGATTTTCGTGGGTCTTCATTTTATCCCATATATGTATAAGATCGTCTGTACCTTTTTTTGACCAAGTCTCGTCACCTCCAAATAGAACACATACAAAACAAAATAGTTTATTCGTTTCTTCACAACCACATATACAGCTGTTTTTATCATACACATTTTTATTAAATTTGCGACAGCGCGATTTTTGTCCGCTACCACTTTGTTTCTCAATTTTTAAATCGGGTATTGGCCGTCCTAATTCTTTAATTTGCAGTTTTTGATCCAGCGAAAAACCACTAAGTGAGTTTTTTAATATCCCGATTTTATTCATTTTCACTAGTTTTAATAAAACAGTAAAAAATATGATCACAAAACAGAGCAGTTCATTAACACTAGACGTACAAAAACAAAAACGTTATTTCTCACTTTTCAGGTAAAAAAAGACCGAAATCAGCACTAGACGTAATCATAACCAAACGACCGACCGAACAAAAACACCGCCGATATCATTTGATAACGAATTACGACTGATGATGTGCCTGGCACAAATTATACTTGTCTTTCGCTATTCACCTCATATAAACATGTCATGCGTAGCGTTATCTCTGTCGCTCGTATGCGATGCTGGTAAAATTTCTCTCTTTTTATTTGGACCGGCCCTAAATTGGCACAAGTTGATGACGTCAAGGTCAAGGCATGCTCGTCTCGTCGCGTCGGTCGGGTGCTTGCGGTGTTGTCACGTTGTCAGTGTTGTCACTTCATATAATTTATACCAAAAAAAATGAAAAAGCAGAAAATAAAGTAAAACATTGAAGATTGAAAAAATATTCTTTTTGAAGAAGACAAGGTAGTGCCATGGCACCGTGGCACTACCTCACGAGCCGCCACTGTAACAAGGTATAAAAGAAGATTCTACCAGTTGATCATTCGGCTAATTTTCCAAACTGTCCTGTGTTTCTCAATTATGTTCAAACTCTAAAAGAAAGGGTGGATTATGGCTAACACGATAAAAAGTGTCTTGAAACTATGTCACTTAAATGTGCGTTCTCTAACAGCTCACTTTAATGATTTTGCCTCTCTTGTTCAATATAAGTTTGATGTTGTAGCAGTCACTGAAACATGGCTGCATTCCTGTATTGACAGCACTGTAGTCAATATACCTGGGTATAATTTCTTCCGTAAGGACCGTGGGAGCAGAGTGGGTGGCATCGGTTTCTATGTTAAATTAGATATTAGCACTAATCTTATCCCAGTTGAGCTCGATGACTTTATAAATCCTCTTGAAATGTTATGCTATAAATTTAAACTGCACGGGTCCAGTATATTAATTGTTGTTATATATAGGCCACCACATTGCTCTATACATCAAGCCATCGAGTGTTTAGAAAATCTTATCTCATTTTTCACTCCCCAATATGACAACATTATATTCTTGGACGATATGAATGTCGACTTGCTTGCTCATAACAACATCCTCAGCAGCTGCTTTGATTCATTCAATTTCATCCAAGTCATTGATGAGCCTACACGTGTTACAGCCTTCAGTTCCACATTACTTGATCCAATATTTGTTAGTGACAATACTATCGTCAAAAGGTCAGGGACACTCAATGCAGACTCAATTAGTGATCATCGGCTCACATACTGTGATATTTCCGTTTGTTATAAAAAAATGGAGCCTAAATTTGTAACATATAGAAATCTTAATAGCATTGATATTCAAAGTTTTAAGACGCAGATTGCATCAATGCAGCTTAATGACATTTATTTCGTGAATGATGTGGATATTAAAGTCTCTATTTTTACTGGCCGTCTTCTTTATCTATTCGATCTATACGCTCCGCTACGTACAGTACGTGTCACAAAACCTGCTGCGCCCTGGCTCACTCCTAACTTGAAAATGATTTTTCAACTCAGAGATGAGGCATTCGCTGTCTATCAGCATAACAGATCTGATCAGAATTGGGCCAGCTACAAAGATTTGATAAATTATGCCCTTGCATCGCTTAGAAGAGAGAAAAAAGCATATATGTCACGTTTCCGGAATCTTAACTCTAGTCAAGCTTGGAAACACCTGAGGAGGATGAATGTGGTAGCCCAGAAACATGTTGCGATACCTCCCAGTCTCCTTGAGCCTAACATTTTAAATAATTATTTTCTCTCAATTTTCCAGACAGCTGCAGCTGATCCAAGTTTGATTGATAGTGTCTCTAACTCTTATAGCGATAGACGCCATACACCGGATGCACCTCTGTTTGCTTTTAAACTCCTTACTCAGCAAGACATCGTCAATATAATCTCTCACATTAAGTCTACGGCATGTGGCTCTGATGGTCTAACTTTAAATATGGTTTGCTTATGTTTGCCTGATACCATAGACCATATAACTCACATTATTAATGTCTGTCTCGAAACAGGTTACTTTCCTGCCAGTTGGAAAAATGGTATTATTATTCCAATAGCTAAAACTAATCATCCAGAACAATATTCGGATCTCAGGCCAATTACCTTATTATGCTTTCTATCAAAAATACTCGAAAGAGCTGTCTACTCACAACTAGTGGAGTTTTTCGAACAAAACCACTTATTTCCTCTACATCAGTCAGGTTTCAGAGCTGGTTACAGCACTACTTCGTCTTTATTACATCTTACTGATTCCATCATTCACAATTTAGATTATCACATCAACACAGCTTGCTGAAAGTCTTGTGTTGTCTGTCATTTCTTACTCTCTTGTTCTGTATTACCCATGTTTAGACTACGTCCACAAAAGAAAACTCCAGAAAATTCAGAACAGCTGTTGTAGGTTTATTTTTGGATTGCGCAAGTTTAGTCGCATCTCAGATAAATTCAAAGAACTCAACTGGTTGCGAATTGATAAGTTATTTTTATATCTTTTGACCGTCTTCACGCATAAAGTTCTATTATCTAACAGACCAGCTTACCTCGCTAGCAAATTAGTTCACCGAGGTAGTTTTGTTACCAGAGCTCTTAGATTTAATGCTAATTTTAATATGCCTCCTCACAATACCTCGGTCTTTGAAAGAAGTTACACCTATAATGCTGTCAAGCATTACAATGCAGTCAACAGTGGCTATCGATCCAAACAGGTTGTTTCTTTCAAGAAATTAATAAAAAGTCAGCTGCTGGAGTCCATTTAGTTCAGTTTTTCGTGTGCTCATGTGATTTTTTTTTGTTTTTTTTTGTTTGACTAGTATTTTTGTTTCAAATTTAAAACTCTCGCAATGCTATCTGCATTTATCTCGTGCAATCATTGTTGTCATTCTTATGAATTGTATTTTTTTTTTGTATGTTATTATTTTGTTTATGTGTGTAAGTATTCTTTTTTTCTGTTGTGGGGTTGAGTGTAAGAGTACTTGTCTGGCTAAACTTCGCCTCACTGCAGTTAATAAAGGCATTATTATTATTATTATTATTATTATTTACCCAGAATTTGTACCAGATCTATATCTTCTGTTTGAACAGTTGATAAAACCTTTTGACCCAATATGCATGCGTTGTTTGTCTTAAAACATTGGTTATGGCATTTTAACAAAAATATGACAGCAGAAAGTTAGGTTATGGTGAAGTTGTATACCAACATATTTAGCATATGTACAGCCTTTAACAGTTACTAAACAACAGTTGTATAAGTGCTTCCGTTGGGAGCAATTTGTTGGATAAAGTAGTAAATTGCACAGCAAAACAACAAGGCTCGGGTTTGTTTTATAAACGTTACCATGGATGCCACAAGACAACCATTTTGACTAACGTGCAAATATGCCGTATAAAATTGTTTTATAAACGTTTTTGAAACAGTTATAAATTTGCCCTATAAGGTGTTGTATAACTATGCTATAAGAATATTTTAAACACCTCATTTTAGAGCAAATATGTTGCAGAAAGCATATTTGCATTCCACACAACATTAAGCCAGCATTTTGGTGTTCAGGCAATAACAATAGAGAGATTTTATGGCTGAACGGTTCTTTTACCAAAAGCTTATACCACTACTTTGCTAGTTGGGAAATATTTTCAACACACAAAACAACGGATGAAGCACGAACTCTCCAATTTTGTCATGAAAAAGTAGTGTCTAATGATTCACCACAAACTTCAAGTTTGGTAGTGTGCCATGGTAAAGGTAGTATAAGCACAGTGTTGATTCTGTGGCCAATTTATTATTCAAGGTATTAACATTTACACTTCGTTTTCTCAATTTTTGACAGGTATTCGCATAGATAGAGCATTGCGCCACGGAATGCTACTTGACACATCAGCCGTGTCATTTAAATGCGAGATGTGTGCATTATATTAGATATGACCGACATGGAATGCGTTCAACTAGCTGAAACATCAAAAAATCTTTTATTTAATATAAATGAATGTTTCTATGGGTTTCCCATTTTATTTGAATTATTGTAATTGCGTGCTGGCTCTCGGACTGCTACCAGCTGTCGCGCGCTCATGATGTTCTCTTGCTTTATTACAACAAGTAAAAATGGCTTGTACTGCTGCCTGAAAGTAATTAGTTAAGTGTACTCCGCAAAAAACTGGCTAATTGCTCGTTTTTACGAATGTTTCGCTTCCAGGAAGGTTCCGGTTTTTTTAATTCTCGCGAGGATAAAGGACTGATGGATGATAGGAGATTACTGATGAATGTGACAGATGCGAATATTGGATTAACAAGTAATTTCGCCTTAGTAAAAACAAAATGAGTAATGGAGTTGTCAGGGAGGCTTGGTTGCAATTAGGTATTTTGATGAGTTCTGAGGGGAGCATTTTAAAGCTGTGGTTTCAAAGCCCGATAGTGACAGTGTGTAATTTGTTTAAGGAGCACAGAGTGATAAGGAAAAACAGTGACAATCTTTCCAGGACAGAAAGTAACTCAACATTACATGAATTCAGAATATCTGATATTTGTCCAGTACTCAGGAGTTTCGAAGTTAGAATTACAAACTGAAATGTCGCATGGCAATAATGAACAGGACTATGGGAAAAAGTTAGTCCTCACTCCATTTGACACAATTGATATTCTAAGGGCCAATTTTACCAACATTAATATTTCAGTTGGACCAATTGTTTCAGCTCTTTTTCGGTAGGTATAGAACTATTTAAATTACTTTCAAAAATCACGGAGAATGATGTTATCGGTATATATTCTCTTTTCGGTAAAAATACCGAAAAATCCGGTTCATATTCGTCACTATTTCATTTGAAGCTTTTATTTGTCATAAGATTTTAGCAAAATATAAGATAGTAAAGGCAACACCGCACCCTACAGCCGAGATGACAAGATTGACAAGCTGTCAAGATTGGGGATGTTTAGATCGACGAAAAGTATCGATATGTATCTCTACTCTAAAATATTGGAATAAAATTATCGATATCCAGCGGAAGGAAACAGAGAAAAAAAGTAATCTGAAGTTAGTCAGTCTTTCTGAGACAGTCGGGATCGAAAGATGATGATACTCGTGGAATGTATCGATACACCCAAGTGTCGTGTATAAAAATATCGATCCAAAATATCGGGTATGGGAAGTGGAGCGTCATGGAAATACTCAACAGTAGCGGAGTTTACTTACTCCACTGGGACCAAGGGTTGACGGATCCCACACATGTGTCACTCGTTGGGGAGTTTTGAAATGTAATAATCCGCTATTATTCAAATAATGTCTAATATAAATATAACCTAGAATGTGTACTCAGTGAAACAATAAAGTTATTGCAAATTCTATTTTGTTTGCAGGTTTTAAGTTTGCCGGTAGTTTTACGACATATATTTGAGTATTTCTTAATCGCTGTAAATATAGTGTGGATGTTTGTTCAGTACCTGAACAACCAAACAATATTAGACTTTATGGATCTATGGATATCAAAAATCCTGAATGGTTTTGTGGGATTATCAATCGACGGTGCTATAATGGTACTGATGAACGGTAAGTAAATGAATAAATGTTTGGAAACGAGCAATATGTATGAAATTTTTGGTAGAGCCTGTCATCAAGTAGGTGCTTAATGGCTATCTGCAAGAGGTTTATAGGAAAAACATACGGTAGGTGATATTGAATCAGTAAAATCGCATATCAATTGAAGAAAATAATATCTATAAACATTAATAAACAATCGGCAATATTAAATAAAAACATGAATTTTATTCAAATATCGAACACTTTTTTAAATTTTGACTAAATTATATGTAATTTCTTAATATTCAATAACTGACTCTTGATTTGACAATCCTGGTGAAATCCACCCTTAAAATATTATTATATGAATATAAGCATGTTTTTCTTCTATTCGTCGAAAATTTTTGAATTCCGTTTCACTGAGGAAAGGATTATGGTCGACATAGATACTTCTGGTAGACATCGGAAGAATAACTACAAAATTTTTAACCCAATGTTTGATAAAAAAAAGGTTCCCATGGCGCTAAAGCCATACTTGAAGGTGCGAGGCGAAATCCGGAAACACCGTTGCACGCAGCAGCAGCCGGCCGATATGGAGGTTTCCATTTTTGACTCTGCCAAGTGTGAGATTCCTTCCATAACTCGCCTTTTGTAGGCTAAAGAGATTCAATCCGTTTGGTCTTGCACGTTCCAGTGTGGTTTGAGGTCTTTGGGAACAATATTTCTGGATCGAGTCTCGTAAATTGGGTCAAAAACCGTCTGTATATCGACCTTCATCCTTCACTGTCTTTTACAATGATTCTTTCAGTATTTTAGATTATCGCGAGCGCACTGTAAAATAACATGTTTGAGTATAGTTTGTTGGTCTTGTTGTGGTCATATACCTATGGGAAATTACTTAGAGATATCTGAGAGATGCACATCCATCAAAAATACCACGATCTGTAATATTGGTATCTAAATTACTGTCTTATTTGCCCATGCAAAAATACAGCGGCACCCCTAGCATATACCATTTTTATTGGTTTACTTTAGATGCTAATTTGTTGTCCGATCATAAAATTGTTTGCTGTATCTTAAACATATCCCGTGTGAAACATGAACAAAAAATGATCACCTTCAGAGATTTCTCACACTTTGATGAGCAATCTTTCATTGATGACCTGGCTAGAGTAAATTTTATTGAAATTTGTTATATGAGGAATATTGATGATAAAGTTCAATTTTTCAGTAGCAAGTTAATTGACACCTTCAATCGTCACTCTCCTATAAGGATGGTACGCGTGAGTAAGCCGAAAGCGCCGTGGTTGTCATATCCGTTGAGACAGCTTCTGAAGCAAAAAACGAGAGCATATTATTTATACAAGATAGACAGAAGTCCAGCAAGATTGCAGGTTTTTAGGGAACTTAGAAACCTTGCACTATCGTGCATTAGACATGAAAAAATGGCGTAACTTGCTCACTTGGAAAAAGGGCGTGATCAGAAAAAATTGTGGTATGAATTGAAAAATATGAAAGCACAAACATCTGATAAGCCACGTATTCCAAACCATCTTGCAGACTCGTTCCTTGCAAATAATTATTTCATATCAGTTTTTGATTCCACAAATGCTCCTGATCCCGTTTTAAGGTATTATAACGAATATGTTCCGCATATATTAATAAATTTTCTTTCAGGCTTCTAGAGCCTCATGAAGTAGCTGAAATAATTTCTAGTTTTAAGTCCGATGCAAAAGGTACTGATGGGTTGAGATTGTCTATGATTAAGCTCAGTCTGCCTGTTACTCTCATCTACATCACCCACCTTGTTAATAGTTGCCTTGAAAGAGGTTATTTCCCTGAAGGGTGGAAGCGAGCAATTGTGGTACCAGTTCCAAAAAAATCAAATCCAGATGAGTTTGCTGATCTAAGGCCTATAAGCCTTGTTTATCGAAGGTAGTTGAAAAGGCAGCCCACATACAACTAATGCATTATGCAGAGGAACATATCATCCCATCTGATCAGTCTGCTTTTAGGAAATCTTTCAGTACTACTACTTCCCTCTTAAACTTAGTGGATAATATTATTAGAGCACTTGATAAAAAAATGGGCGTAGCAGTGATGTCAATCGATTATTCCAAGGCATTTGACAAAATAAATCATGAGTTGTTAATAGCAAAGTTGAAGTATTATGGCATAGATCCAATTGCATTGATTTTTTTTCGAAATTATATATCAAATCGATCGCAGTGCGTATCAATTGAAAACAATAAATCTAGTTTTCTAGAAATCTCGTCTGGAGTACCCCAGGGGTCTGTTTTGGGTCTCTTGTTGTTTTTGATATATATTGCTGATCTGCCTAAGGCTGTGAGTTTTTGTGAACTCCAGTCTTTTGCGGATGATACTCAACTGGTCCATTATTTTGATACTGATGATATGGAAATGGCACAGACATCAATAAACCATGATATTCAAAAAGTGTATGACTTCTCGAATAACCACAACCTGTCAATAAATCCTGGTAAAACCAGCCTGTTATTTTTTTATTCGGATCGTAGGAGAGAAGAAATTAAAAGTCGATTAACTATTAAAATTGGATCTCAAAGACTGTACCCGGTTGACGAGGATAAAATTCTTGGCGTGGTAATCGATTTCAAACTTAGATTCACCAGTCATGTTAAAAATCTTTTGAAGAAAACCTACTTGAGACTGAGATCATTATATGCCAATAAAGCAATTTTCAATTATAAGCTAAGGAAAAAACTGTGTTCATCTTTGGTTATGCCGATTTTCAACTACTGTGATATTTTATATTATCCGTGTCTCAATGTTGTTACTAGAAATCGGATTCAAATTGTGCAAAACAATTGTGCTAGGTTCATCTGCGGTTTAAGGCGCTTTGACCATGTTTCTGGTTGTCTTATTGAATTAAACTGGATGATAACAAAAAATATTGTCAAATATCATTACCTTGTTTTTATTCATAAACTAATACTTATGTCAAAACCTATATACTTAAGAGAAAAACTGATCTTTAGGCGAAATATTCATCATAGACATATTAGATTTCCAGATTTGATAACTACACCTATTCACTCCACAACTTTATTCCAGCGTTCTTTCACGTACAGGGCTTCAGTGTTATACAATGCCTTGAGTCCTGAATTCAAAACCATGTCCTTAAATTGCTTCAAGAAAGCTGTCAAATCTCATATTTACTTGGATCCATAGTCTTAATTGTGTACATGTAGCAAACCTTGGTGCAACATGTACCTATGTAATGTGTGTATATGTATGTATGTACATGTGTATGTATATATGTATATTTTGTTTGATATCTGCTACTTAACAACTTGTTTTTTTTGCATGGGTGGTTAAGTGTAAGAGTAGCATGTTGCTAAACTTCGCCACCAAATGCAACTCTTGTTTCTGTATGAAGTACAGTTTAAATAAAGACGATTATTATTATTATTATTATTATTATATTTTGTGGGCCTGTATTATTGTATCGAGTTTGAAAAACAAGCAAGTTATTATAAAAAGAGTTTATTTTCAGCATACTAAGGTAGCATAATGTCCCTTCTTTTTCAAATGCCGGTTTGAGATGACTAAAACACAATGTTATCAGTTTTTTTTAAATGCATTTTCTTCCATTTGTTTTGCATAGTTTCTTCAGTCGTAACTTGTTAACAAATATCAGTACAGCTTTGAAGTTGTATGTCCAGATTCTACTTTTACAGTAGTGGGTGGTAACTTTTATTCTTATCTCTCTTTCTCTTCGAAAAATCTCCCATAAATCGG